GGACAGGCTTTGATTTCAGCAGGCAATGTGCTTAATAATAGTAATAATAATCATTTTAAAGTGAATTCCCAGCACAGGGGAGGAAAGAGGGGAAATCTGCATAGATCATTAATCAGCTATGTGACTGTGTCTGGAAAGGTGAGCACTGTGCCAGCAGAGAACAAAATAATGGGTAATTTTTCATGATATTCACAGAAAGCAAATTTAGCCATCTGCCAATGCTTGCTGTTTTGCCAAGCCATTATGAAGTAAGTTTTTTTTTAAAAAAAAAGAAAGACCTTATTTAGAATGTGGTTTTGGAATGTTTCCTATATTCCTAAAGGTGATGTCTTTAAAAATGGCTTTGTTTTAGTCAAATCAGCACAAATGTTGATAATAATAACAGACAGGCTTATTTCACATTTTGCTGGAAACCTTTCTTCATAGCTTAAAAAGTTGTTATTTGGGAGTGAATGAAGAAATTACTTAATTTTATTGTGATTTCTGTTCTAAAAGATCTTGCATAATAAATTTGCAGAAACCATTCTTCTTGATTTCCTCTATAATGATGAAGAAATAAACTCAGGCCCCATCTACACTGCCACATAATACAGTTTGAAGCTGCATTATGTGGTTAGTGTAGAATCATATCATGCGATTCAGTTCAGCTAAACTCGCATTTTATGAGCCTACACGTCCATACCGGGAAAGGTTACCCAGGAACGTATATTGGGGAAAACCATATTTTACTGCACAATAGTCACACTTTTTGTTCCTTTTTTGGCTACAAAAAAGATGGTATGCCTATTACCCAGTGGGAAAAAAACCCATCTATGGGGCTTCACACAGCCTGCAGCTCAGTGAAGCCCCATAGCTGGAAGGGGGGCAGGTGCACAGGTGAGTGAACCTTGATTCCCTCCCCCCCCCCGCTTTCTCAGATTCTGAGAAATGAGCAGAGTCCAAATTAGTCTCCCCCCCCCCCCCGCTTCAGACACATAATGAAGTATCTTATATGTGAGAGTATACATATTTGAGACAATTCCTCACAACCTTGATTTGCATTATGACAGACTTCATAGCTTTAGTTGTCAGGATTTTATATGTCACACTTTTCTAACACAATACTTAAATTGCCATCTTCAGAATGTATAGTTGCAGCCTTTAGGAATAAACATGGTGAAACCCAGTGACGTATTTATTTTTCTTGTATATGTTAAACTTGTAAAACGAGTTTGGCTTTCTCAAAAGATCATCAGGCAGGTTCACTTTTTAAAAACAATCAAAAATATTTTTGATTTAAACTTTTTTGAAATTCCTTTCTTACTCTCATGAAAGTTAGATCAGTTTCAATAAAGTGGAAAGCAAACAATATTTTCATGATAAAATACATGTTTTCCTAAGAACAGGGGATAGTTTATGAAAGTGACTATCAACTGTATTAAGGATTATATTTGTTTTAGTTTTCTATATTAGGGATCTCTTTTCAATCAAATTTTAGTTTATCCCCCCCCTAAAATTGTATATAGAAATCTGTATTTCCAGTCATTCGTACATTTGCTTATAGCCATGTTCTATCATGTTCTGTTGTTCTACAGCCATGTTCTATTGCAGGGGTCCTCAAACTAAGGCCCAGGAGCCGAATACGGCCCTCCAAGGTCATTTACCCGGCCCTCGCTCAGGGTCAACCTAAGTCTGAAACAACTTGAAAGCATACAACAATAACAACAATCCTATCTTATCAGCCAAAAGCAGGCCCACACTTTCCATTGAAATACTAATAAGTTTATATTTGTTAAAACTGTTCTTCATTTTTCATAACTATTGTATTGTTTTTAAGTGTTTTTGCACTACAAATAAGATATGTACAGTGTGCATAGGAATTCATTCATGTATTTTTTCAAATTATAATCTGGCCATCCACCAGTTTGAGGGACTGTGACCTGCCCTCTGTTTAAAAAGTTTGAGGGCCCCTGTTCTATTGTTTTCTATCAATCCAAACAGATTACCTAGCTGACTAAAAAGAAATGTAGCTACATTTTTAATGAATTATGCTTTTCCTCCTTGTAACTGAGGGCTATTTAAAGGCTGTATGCTTTGATGGTTGCCAGTTGTAAGCCACCCCAAGTCCCCTTCCGGGTGTGAGAAGGACAGGATATAAATGTCTGAAATAAATAAATAATAAATAAATACAACCTCCTTGGAGCCTTTAACAATGTGATGCCTAAAAGAAGTCGTTTTCTTTGCCATTCTTCTGTGTAATTAAATATTGTTTAAGATATATACAGTACAGTATATCTGTTTTTTGAGTTTATATCTCAGTCAGTTTACTAGGCCTTGCTAGGTGAATAATGTGCACATAATCTAGTTTTGAAATATTTATTTTAATACTTTTCCACAGTTCAAGTTAAACAAATAACAATGTGAGGCTTATATACCATTCTGCATAATTTTTGGGAGGGAACTGCTGTTTGACAAAACTTGTGGTTTTAATTTCTTCTTAAACTATAATATGAACAAGCTATAATTTCCCTGTGCTATATATCCCATCCCATCTTTACATAAGAGGAATTGGATCAAGAGAACTATAAGCAGTGTTTATAGAATGTGGCTTTAAAAAAAGATCTTTTCATCTGCTCTGCAGTTTCCATTGTTCTTCAGAAGTTGATCCTGCTGTTGAAGGAACCTTTGGGAATTATGTGCTTTGTGATACAGCAGGTGGTTAATTGAAAGTGGAGTGGCAGAAATTTTCCTTTCCTGCTATATAAGTAGAAATGCCTTTCTGCTTATGTTAGGAACTACTAGATTAAAACCAGGGTATTTAGAGGTATATCAAGTCTATAGACATACTTTTTAAATTAAAGAAGAAATTGAAGTCACATGTTTTCAAGTGTATGTGCTTTATGATTTGATTCTCAACTTTCACTAATTTAATGAGACTTATTACAGAATGGAGCTTTGCGGGACTGCTCTAGGTTTTCATATTATCTGGCATAACCAGTGTATGGCTTCAAAAAGAACGCTGTAAACAAAATATTTATGGGGTTTTTTTTTAAACGTAAGTCCTTTGTCACATTTCTTAAGACACTGGTTAATCTGTAACTGAGAATTGGGTGTTCATGAGATGACTGAAGGAGGAAGAGGTGCTTAATTGAATTTCCCTCACTGGTATTTCCCTTCCGGTACAATTCTCCTCAAAACTGGATTTATGTGGGCTTTTGGATCATTGCTAGATGGTGAGATTGTATATAAACTGCTGTGGATGGGCATTTACAGGAAAAAGTAATCTTCAGGGAATATTTAATTATTATTTTTCTGCCCACATTTCTGAGTCAGATTGAATAGGTCTTATAATCTGCTGGATATTGAAATCACTGATCGGGCTGCCCAAGGTCTTGGACATTCCTGTGTTTTGCATGGGTATTTTCTGATATCATGAGAACTGCACACATATTCTGGTTTTCTGATGGTGATTTTGGTGTCTACCCTGATGTTTGCTTTGGGCGTAGGATGAATTGGGTTGTGTCTGTCCCATGGAAGGACTTAATTCCAATGGCGCACATTCTTGAAATGTCTACAACACCTCTGAGGATTCATAATCACCTAATTCCCAGTCTGGGACTCCTTTGTCAAATGATAATCCACGCAAGAGAGTTCGCTATTGACAACTATATTATTGAGGCCGTTATCCCTGGCCTGGACAGCTCCCCCAACTCTGGAATCTCAAGAATAGCAACAATTCTTGGCTTATGCTCCTGTTTCCTTGGGATTTCTTAGAGGAAGAGGTATCAGTCACCATCTTTTATGGTCTGGGTTCTTTCCCTGAAATGCTCATTGAAAAGCTTGAGCATTAGATTTTGTATAAAAACTATATGTCTGTGGATTTCCATTGCTGGTACATGCATTTTTACTCCTGTAGTTCCAACCTTCTCATGGAACAGTGGCTCGGACGGATATGGTATATCTTCCATTGTATATGGGATAGAAGGGTGTAGCACTGTATGTTGTTCTCTTACATAATGCATGATTTATACTTGGCTTCCTTTATTTACAGTTCAAGTCTTGACCAGCTCCGGCTTTGTGGCTTCTCATTGCTGTCTGTTGCTGCCATGGATGTTTCCATGCATTATGAGAGTAGCACTCAGTTCTTGGCAGAATGGTGTGCCACATTTTTAGGGATCAGGGGGATGGAAATGAGATACTGCTATTATTTGACAAGGTGAAGATTATCACTTCTTTAGGCATAGATTGTTGTAAACCATTTCCTAAAGTTGGAAGAGGAATTCTGAAACAATTTTTGTAGGTTAGTTTTCAGGAAAAAGACAAAAATACATAGGCATCTTGAAATACACTTTCTTGAGTATTCTGGAGCATAAAACTTTGATTACATATTGATGTGGGTAGGGATGTGCATGTTTCAAAAAATGAGGGGTTTCTTTTTGCAGTGGGTTATGAATGTATTTGGATTTTTTTAAATTATACAGTATGATTTGACATCTGAAATTAAAAGCCAATGGTTTTACTTAAAAAAAGAATGTAAAATCTACTCTGTAATTGCTTCTTCCATCTTTCCATCACAATTGGAAAGGCATTTCTGCTCTATGAAATTTGACTTCATAGCTTTATGAATTCCTATATTACATCATTAAGGAGTGATACAAAAGGATCAAGGCAAGATGCTTCCATATTTTTGTCTGAATCTTTTCATACAATTGAATACACTTACGTATATCTAATTCTTTTATCATTCATTCTCATTTTCCAGGTGCATTCACACTATAAAAGTATATTAGTTTTGTATTAGTTTGTATCAAGGCTTCCTATGAGGATGTTGGCATATGATAAAGATACTAAAAATGATCATTTGGAGATCTGCTCAGGGTCCCTTGAGAGGACAACTATAAGTTTAAATCTATATAGTAGATCCATTCATGCAGTCTTTCTTTGAATTCAAATGAGGCAACTTACAACTTCTTCAATCTGTTGATCTTGTTGTCCTTTCTTTTTCTTTCTTTTGTTAACAGAAGCTGCTAAAAGATCCTCTGTATATTGGGCTGAGACATAAAAGAATCAGAGGCCAAGCTTATGATGACCTTCTAGATGAATTCATGCAAGCAGTGACTTCCCGGTAAATTGTTTTATTTATATAGTGTATTTTCTTCTGGATTTCTTTTTCCTAGGGGGTGAAGGGGATGCACTAAAAAAATTTCATGTTTTGTAATTTTGAGTTTTATTTTTTTATAAGATGTAGTATTGTCAGGCCGTTGTGAATTTATTTGTTAAGATTGACAACAAGAAATTGAGGAAAGCACTAGTGTACTTATTTTATTAGAAAAAAACTTTTGTTTTTGAAAAATACTTTGTCCCTAGGAAGGAAAGCAGAATGAGAAAAACAACATTTTATTCCAACTTCAGGATGAAGTTTTTTTTAAGTATTAGTAATTTTCCATACAGGCCACAGTAAATATCACATGTGTATATCAGTTATCTTAATTCCTGAAATGGGCTCAATCCGGCATTCAGCACACTGGATCAAGTCCACTTGGTGGCCTGATAGGAACTCCTTGAAGTGCCTTGGATGTGGCAGGGAGTCCACAATGTTTGCCCATTTCAAACATAGTTTAGTGCAGCTGGGCATGCCTCTAAAAGGGCATCCCCCTCCCCCATGTAGCACCTCACCTACTTGACAGCTGGGGCATACTGGCTTTTGGAAGGTAATCATCTGGTAAATGGAAAATATCCATATTTCTCTCTTTGAAATCTGGTGTGTGACTACCAGATCGCCCTGAAACAGGTAGGTGGTGGTGGTGGGGGTGTCCCTGCAGGCGATAGCCATGACATGGGAGGGGACTAGGCCCAGAAAACACAGGATGGCTCTCAAGAAAGTTGCTGCCGGTTTTGTTTAGGAACTGTCCCAGCTGTCTAATTCGGAGACAACCAGAATCCTGCTTAAACAATTTTATCCCAGGTTAATCCAGATAAGTGCATGCGGCATTTAGTTGCCTCGGGACCGATCTATCCTCACACTGACCTAAGTGGTTAGTGTAGATGTAGCCATAATGCTAAACTGGTATAGCCTTATATCACTTTAACCCTATAGTTATTTTAAAAAATCTGAAAATAATGAAAATAAGAACAGAAACAGGAATGATGTATGAAACAGGGATTCTGCATATTGTCATGGGTACATATACAATGAGTTATTCAGTTCATGGAGGGGATGGAGGCATGGCAAGAGACTACACACTTGTCATACATCAGTCTCAAGGGAGAGAAACAACGGTTAAAAAGAAATGTGCAAATGAGGGATAGTGCTACAAAACATCTCGTATATTAGTGGTGACCGGATGTGGGAAGTAAAACAGTTGCTCCAACATCCTGTGTTTCTCAAACTGGATGGGTTCCAAGGCCACAGAGACAGTGTGTTTAGTCGAAACAAGATGGTTCAGTCAATCACATACTATTTTTTTCCTTAGAAAAAGTTTTGCCTGGAATCCTTAGTATATGACTACAGGTATATAAAAAGTATCTGATGAGTTTCAGTATTTTTCAAGCAGAAAACCTGTTTAGCAGCAGTCTTACATTGTGACACTTACTGTGCAGTCTGGAACATACCAACTAGAACATTATTTTAGTTTTTAATTTTCTTAGTATTGAACATTCCATTTGCTATATTTATTATTTCATAACAAAAGATGAAAAAAATTAAAGATGTTTTAGGCAGAACTATACAAAATGAAAGATATGACAGTTAAACAAAGTCCCTATGTTTTGCTTCCATTGAACCAGGGCCAAAGTAACCATAATGTGTAGCAATGTGAACCTTTCTTTTTTTTAAAAAAAACCCAAAAACAAAAACAAATTGTTTCAAGGATTCAAAAGAAAGAACAAAAATTGTGTTGGAGGAATGGAAAGTGGTCAGAAGAGATAAGAACTGGCCAGGGAGAAAAGTGTCACTTCTGTACTCACACGGGTACTTCTGTGCTTGAAGTTTATTGTTATAATTAACATGATGAAGAAAATAGGAATGATATTTGACTCTCAACTAGTCTCCTAAAAGATGTCTAGGAGACCATAAACACCTACTTTCATAGGCTACTATGTGGCTGCTCTTTGGTGAAACTAAGTTGCTAGTTTTAATGACTGTTGTACTATTTTATATTAGCAAATTCGCGATAGCGTTGCGCTATAAACACAGCAGTTTCTCAGATGCAAGGAACACGAAGCCCGTAGTGCTCGCAGCAGTACAAACCACTTATAAACAAAAAGACCATTTAAAAACATAAGACGACACAGATCGCCACACCTAACAAACCACTATCCTGACAAAATCGTGATCATGCGTCCATATACCAATCCAAATCAACATTCATCACGAATAACCAACATGACGCGTCGAACATCAGGTTTTCAACTATCTGGAAACCCTTACATCCCCGTTGGTGAGTCTTATCCTCACATTGGAATGTCCTCTCTATATCCTATGTGCCACACAATCAAAGAATTCCCTTAACTTCCGCCAGGCCCGAAGCAGCGCTTATCCCATTGATTGGTTGCACTGGTTCTACACCCCAAAGCGTGTCACGACCTGTAGGATCCAGGGGATGATCAGCGCACCAGCGTTACGTCGGATAGGAGTTGGCAGAATGTAGGGATTTAAGGCCAACTCGCACTTGAATGAGTCCC